CGGTCAGCGTGTAGGCTTTAGGGTTAGGGTTGGGGTTCAGGTGCACAATGCCGTACACATGGTACACACTGTTGTATATGGACACCGAGCGACGCCCGCCAGAGCCTTGCCGGCCGCCTACTACCGTTTCGGTCATTCCTGAAAAATGCTGTATATTCTCCCCGGGACCACATTCGATCGCCAGTCACACCCGTTCAGCTCGCCACGACCACATCACCAAGGCCAGCCAAGCAACTGATCATCCGCACAATGTGTGTATTACAAGCACTCTCGGCGCCCCACACACACACACCAGACAGACCACACACACAGCACACATCCGCGCGGTCGCACGCACGGCACAGCGCACCGCCCGCGCAGCAGCCGCACACACACCACACACACACAACACTACACACACAGGCGCATTCACACACACACACACAGGCACGATCGACCCATACAGCACTACACATTACACACAGGCCACCACCACACACACGGGCCACACACCACACACATCACACAGCCACTTCACACATCACACATCACAGACGACCAGACACAGCGCTCTTGCACGAACGCCGCAGTACACACACACACACACACACACACACACACACACACACACACACACACACACACACACACACACACACACACTCACACACAGTGTGATAGACTGTCGTTACATCACATGTGCATGGCTGGTTTACCTTCAGGACGAGGGGCATACGCCGCTGCATATAGCCTGCTGGGAAGGAGACGAGGCACTCATTAAATTCTTCTACCAGGCTAAAGCAAACCCACACATTTACGACAAGGTGAAACCCTCTCCCAGCGATTATACGCACTATATATACCTCCGACGATGTATACACCGACGATATGTACCTACCAGCGATGTATACCCTAGCTCCGATTCTCTGTGCATTTAGGCGCGCGCGTTACAGCGCCATGTTGCTATAGTAACGAGTTTACCTGTGATGGCATTATTCACACACCTTGTTTTTTTTTGCCTAAAAGTACAAGGAATTTTCGTAACACTTTCGCATTGCATAGAACAATGGGAATATTTTAATGAGTGTCTTTTTTGGTGACTTAGATACAAGTAAACGAGGTCGATATAATTATGTTACTTAGGAATGTTTTTTTTCTACGGGGAAACCTCGTTGGTAATGAGCTGTAGAAATGACTCTTTTTTCTTCGGGCAAAACCTCGTGAAAGCTGTAGAAATTACTGCTCCTGTGTGTGTCAGCTTCTAATGGAGTCGTTCTTGTGACCCTGAGGGAAGTCGCAAATCCAATTTCTGCTACTGTGAAAATTACCGACTTAGTCAATAGCGAAGCTACGAAAGTCTCAATTTTTTCCTAATTTCTGATGATTTTTGTACTACTTCTTGTTACGGACTGTATTTTTACAGCGAAAAATCTCAAAAAAGTCGAAGTTTATTACATTAACTTAATAATAACGTCTAAAAACTTCCGCAACTGATTGTGTTTTTTTGCGGGTGTGAAACGGCAGAGGGAAAATAGTATAAGAACCGAGGAGAACCAAAGAAACCTTTGTTGCGCCTGCGAAAAATGTTGAGACCCACGGCTCTCTAATGGTTTGGCGTTTTATATCAGCTTGATAGGTCGCCTCTGCACATCGCGGCGGAACGAGGCCACACGAACATCGTGGAGGGATTGATCGACAAATTTAAAGCATCCGTTTCTGCTAGAACAAAGGTATAGTCACGCGGATCCGGTGAGTGTTAGTTCTCGCGTGAGTTCAAAGCGACGCGTCAAAGGCGTTTTTATAGACTACGCGTGCGCGTATTCTTTATTAGAATCGATAATCGATTATATGCTTGTCGTGTCTGTTCTATTTAGGATGGGAGCACATTGATGCACATTGCGTCACAGTGTGGGCATCCAGACACAGCGTTAGCTTTCATGAAAAAAGGTGTCCCTCTGCATATGCCAAATAAGGTAGATGGAGTTTCCATAGTTACTGTGGACATTTTGTTGGCGCGTACTGCATTCTATGTGGATAACCTGTCAATATGATGGAGTTTTATCGACTTAATGTTTAATTATCAAGAAATAATTTGCTGTAGTTGATTAACTACATCTTTATGTTTTTATGCATAAGAGTAAACTGATGAGTATGTTCGAAAATCTTTAATACGCAATACACTGATTATATCTATTTTTAAACTGCTATCACCTGGTGACTTTTACCTGCTATCATATGCATACTAGAATAAATTACTATATATAGTTAATATATAATTATAAATAGAATTAATACTAGAATTAGAATGCGTCCCATTTTTGAGAAGATTACACCAGGCAGCTCATGACGTAAAACTGTTTTGAACGCGAATGATTTTAATTTGGGACCAATGTTTATAATAATCAATCTCGCTGATAATTAAGATGTTTCTTTGTCGGGCAGTCTGGTGCCGTTGCTCTACATGCTGCAGCAAAGCGAGGTCACACGGGCGTTGTCAGGGCGTTACTGCAAAAGGGATCTATCGTCGATGCGAAAACCAAGGTGCCGCCATTTTAAGACTACATCATCTATATAGCCATAGCACTTAGACACTGATTACACAGCGTGATGGATGTGTACGTGAGATTGGTTTACGTTGATCTCTTGTTTAATACGTGAATAGGATTTATTGATAAATGAGAAATTTATTGAGTGAATACTTGGCAGGAAAACTACACTGCACTTCACATAGCCGTACAGCATTGCAAACCCCTGGTCGTGCAAACATTGCTCGGTTACGGAGCGCAAGTTCAAATAAAAGGTGGAAAGGTACGCAGTTCCAATATCTTTATAAACTCTATTACAGTATTAGTACGAACTCAGTCTAATTTCTCTGAAAACCTATAAGAATTTTTCTAGAACCTTAATATGTTGGCTTGTCGGCCACGGAGAGCAAATTTAACTAAAAAGTAAAGGCGTGCGATATATTCTATATTGTTATTCTCTGTGTGCAAACTCGTTCTAGTTTCTCCGAATCCTGTAAGTAAGAATTCTGTATTGTTTTCTTGCAGTTGGCCGAGACGCCTCTTCACATAGCAGCACGGGTCAAAGATGGCGAAAAATGCGCCGAGATGCTTCTAAAGAGTGGCGCCGACGTCGACGTGCATCAAGAGGTTGAGCACACGTTGAAAACGTCGCCCATCTATATGACAGACGCGGCGATCTGTCTGTCGCCCTTCGCCATAAATATTCAAAAAATTTGGTCATAAATATCCAAAACATTGCTCTCTCAATATTCGCATCACGAATTTAAATTTAAAGTTTAATTACGAATCCTCGTCTTGATTCTGTTTAGTAGTATCGTATATTCAGGACACGCCTATCGCCTCGACCCCGTCACCTGTCTGTGCGTGTCACAATTGACGTTGATTCTTAAATTGGTCTTTGTGGTAGAATGGAGAAACGGCGCTGCACATAGCTGCGAGATATGGTCACCTGAAAATGGTGCAGCTTTTACTGGAGGAAGGCGGTGACATACAATGGCAGGCGAAGGTACTATATTGAGGTGTCTCAGCATATATATATATATATATATATATATATATATATATATATATATATATATATATATGTGTGTGTATCACGTTCCACCTTCCCATTCATAGCAAAG